CTAAATGCAATACCTCTCTAAATGCACGTGCTAGAGCTGGTCCCGACGACGTGCATTTAGGGAGGTCTGACTGTAATTAAGGAGAAGAAGATCTCCGGTTCTAACTTCCTCAATTTGAATCAAGAAAAACTTGAAAAATATAGATTACAACCAGGGCCGGCAGAATCCATAGTAGAGCTGGTCAAAAAAATTAGGGGCGAGGACCAGGGTAAGTAGTACCATGACTGCATTTGAATATTCCAAACCTATACTGCTTTCTCCACAATAATTTCATTCATTCTTTGATATCTTTTATAATTAGGTCAGAAGAAAGAAGCAGATATAATTTTAAGTAAGTTGATTAATTTTATGAATCAGGGGAGAAAATCATCTGAGAAGCTTTTAATAATAGTGTTTTTCTTTTTACTCTATCAATAATCAAGCTGTGGACGCTAAGATTTTACAATATTACCAATGATATAAGAATGAACATTCTGAAGCTTCCGATAAAGGAAACTTCATGTATTTTATCTTACAATATGTGCCAGAGCATCCTGAAGCTTTCTATGAAGATGTAGTAAAAGAATTTCACAAATCACAAGGTAAGCAAACAACATGATGACACTTGGGAAATTATTGTAACAGATGTTAATATTATAATTATGTATACTTTGTTGTGAGAAAGTTCTTTATCTCTTTTTTTATCTTGTATATATATTAATTTTTATATCTCTTTATATTTAGGTTTGGAGAAAGCGGATGCAAATTCAAATAAGCTGATTAATTTTACAAAAGAAGAAGAAGAAGTTGTCCGAAAAGCTTTTGATAGAGATTTTAAAGATCCAAGTGATCTTTCGAAAAGGTTTATGCTCTTTATTAACAAGTGTTTGCGTAAATACAAAACAAGAAGTGAATATTATGTGTTATACACAACTTTAATTCAAGCCAGTAGAACAGGAAAATCCAAATTATTGATGAGTTTTGCAGAAAATGTAATGACTGTATATTGTTGCTTGCGTGACTCCAAATCAAGTGGTTATCTATTCAGATCACAGAAGTTTCTCAATATCTATATATGGGGGTGAGTTAATAGAAAAGAGACAAATCATTTTTAGTAATTTTTTTTTAATTTTTAAATTAAAATATCTCAACAACTATTTAATCAA